GCTCATGACCCAGGGGTGTGTCATGACCTTGACCCAAGGTCATTTGGAGAGTTAAGGTCACTGGTAGAAAAATTTCACAATTCGTGTCCGGTACATATCTTTCTTATGGATAAACTTGGTAGGTTCTCATTTCACACAAAGATTGCTCATGACCCAGGGGTGTGTCATGACCTTGACCCAAGACCTTGACCCAAGGTCATTCGGGGTAGTTCAAGGTCACTGGTAGAAAAATTTCACAATTCGTGTCCGGTACATATCTTTCTTATGGATAAACTTGGTAGGTTCTCATTTCACACAAAGATTGCCCATGACCCAAGGGTGTGTCATGACCTTGATCCAAGGTCATTTGGGAAAGTTCAAGGTCACTGGAATAAAATTTTCATAAACCCTGTTTGATACATATCTTTTATAGATAATCTAGGTAGGTTCTCATTTCACACAAAGATTGCCCATGACACGGAGATGTGTCATGACCTTGAGACCCAAGGTCATTTGGGAAAGTTCAAGGTCACTGGAAGAAAAAATTTTATATTCCCTGTCTGGTCCATATCTTTCTTACGAATAAACTTAGTAGGTTCTCATTTCACACAAAGATTGCCCATGACCCAAGGGCGTGTCATGACCTTGACACAAGGTCATTTTTGGGAAGTTCAAGGTCACTGGAAGAAAAATTTCATAATTTGTGTCCGGTCCATATCTTTCTTATAGATAAACTTGGTAGGTTCTCATTTCACACAAAGATTGCTCATGACCCAGGGGTGTGTCATGACCTTGACCCAAGGTCATTTGGAGAAGTTCAAGGTCACTGGTAGAAAAATTTCACAATTCGTGTCCGGTACATATCTTTCTTATGCATAAACTTGGTAGGTTCTCATTTCACACAAAGATTGCTCATGACCCAGGGGTGTGTCATGACCTTGACCTAAGGTCATTTGGAGAAGTTCAAGGTCACTGGAAGAAAAATTTCATAATTTGTGTCCGGTCCATATCGTTCTTATAGATAAACTTGGTAGTTCTGATTTCACACAAAGATTGCTCATGATCCAGGGTGTGTCATGACCTTGACCCAAGGTCATTTGGAGAAGTTCAAGGTCACTGGTAGAAAAATTTCACAATTCGTGTCCGGTACATATCTTTCTTATGCATAAACTTGGTAGGTTCTCATTTCACACAAAGATTGCTCATGACCCAGGGGTGTGTCATGACCTTGACCTAAGGTCATTTGGAGAAGTTCAAGGTCACTGGAAGAAAAATTTCATAATTATATGTCCATATCTTTCTTATAGATAAACTTGGTAGGTTCTCATTTCACACAAAGATTGCCCATGACACACTCGTGTGTCATGACCTTGACCCAGGGTCATTTGGGGAAGTTCAAGGTCACTGGTAGAAAAATTTCATAATTCATGTCTGGTCCATATCTTTCTTATGGATAAACTTGGTAGGTTTTTATTTCACACAAAGATTGCCCATGACCCATGGGTGTGTCATGACCTTGACCCAAGGTCAATTGGGGAAGTTTAAGGTCACTGGAAGTAAAATTTATAATTTGTGTCCGGTCCATATCTTTCTTAAGGATAAATTTGGTAGGTTCTCATTACCCAAAAAGATTGCCCATGACCCAAGGGGTGTGTCATGACCTTGACCCAAGGTTATTTGGGTAAGTTCAAAGTCACTGGAATAAAAAATTTCATAATTTTTGATTTTGATACATTTCTTTATTATGGAAAAACTTACTTCTGAAAAACCCAGCGGGGGGTATTTCGTCCCGTTTGGACAGTTCTAGTTCAAAATTAATTTGGCATAGATTAACGTATTAAGACTAATGTGATATTGTTTAATATTGTTTAATATGATGGGCATTTGGCAAAGTTTAACACAACCAGAATAGAAAGCTATCAATGTTTTAATATTGTTATAATAATTAATGCCTACACCACAGGGGATTGATAAACACATATTTAAGGAACGGAAAAATCATGGACACCTTGATATGCTCTCTAAAACTGTTTAGATACATGTAATTTGTATTTTTTTCACGGGCTTATCATGCTTATATATTATAATCGATCTAATTATATGATAAATTGCACTTGTGTAGAGAGGGTCCTTCAGATAAATTTCGATTGATTTTGAGATCAAAGAGATCAAAGATGTTTCAAGTTCATAAATATGTAGTAGAAAAAATATCTCTCAAAGTTCATATGATTTTTCTAAATATTTGGTTTTTAATTACGTAAGGATTACACAGAAAATATTTGTTTGATTAGTGCATGTACAAGAATTTTTCGCCAATTTTTTTAAAAAACTTTTTTGATGCCCTTTTAGGTATACCGGTAAGTCACATTATCCAACGATGAGTAACCGATGCGTATTTGATGAAAATGACGTGGTTGCCGGCCGGGCACCAGAAGTGATCGGACGGTGACTGAGTCGTTTTTGCGAAGCGGTGGGGTCATCGGTAGGAAAAAATTCGTAGTTAAAATTCAGCGATGTCTCTACCGATACCTCACATCGCTCCTCATCGGCAACCCATCATTAACACATCTTTCAAGGATCGGTCGATGTATGGCCGAGCATCGTTCAATATCCGTTGAATCTGAGGTCATCAGGGAATTAAATGGTGTTCAACAGATAACGACCGATCATCGGTCGATCTTCGACCAAACATTGGCCCTAAGTCGACCGATGTACGAACAATGTCCACCAATGTATGAGAAATTAATATACACCGACCGATTATCCTGGAACATCGTTTTAGGATTAGCAATGTTTCGCTGGTCCTTTGTAAGTCCGGCCGGCAACCACGCCATTTACATCAGAAAATGCATTGATTGCCAATCGTATGCACATCGCTTGATAATGTAACTGGTACTTTATGGACTACTAGAGCGATGTGGATCGATGTTAGGGCATCGTTAACACCACGGATTACCACCGATTACCACTGGTCTACGGCTACCGGCCGGGAAATGTGACCTAGGCATTAATAATGTCGTAATATTTTTAATACTGGCTGATTATTACCGTGTTAAAGAACAATATAACCTGTCATCAAAGGAAAAAGAATTATGAATAAAAGATAAATAAGCAAAATTAAAATTGAAAGAAGACTAAAGCATTGAAAAGGGGGCGTTAAAAGAAGACTAACAAAATTAAAGATGGACCGGACCGGGGTCGTTTAAAGACACCAACACTGCTGAATAGAATGTTACAATACCTAATATGTAGAGAAAAAAGTCAAATCTCCACTCATTCTAAACATGATGTCAAGATTGTGAAACTGAAAGTTAACATGCCAAGAAATCTCGTCCGATTTATGCGCAGTGATGAAGTCAATAACAGTTTAATTATACAAATCATTCATGTTCCCCAAACGCTGGCAAGACAATTTACGGCACCAGATTTCGATTTCAGGGGGTGGATCCTAGGTTTTCAGCCTTCTTAGTCAAAGAAAAATAAACTTGATACATTCCAGCATTTATTTCGAATTCTAACAGTGATATTTTTACATTAAAATGAAAATATTAACATAGCCAATCAGGTTGCGTCTAGGTATCACACCGGTAATTGTTTTCACTATAAAAATCCATATAGAATTTTTAAAAATGGTAAGCTGACATACCCTCACAAACTTCAAAACGGTACCTACACGGCATTTCTTGACTTTTTTAATCTGCAAACAGGGCTACCCTCAAATCCACGTGGTTTTAAATGTGTTCATAAACAAGTGCATCACAGGAAGTTGCCTCCCATGCCCGAAAAAAATAATTCCTGTCAAAAACTTCTAATTTTTATTTGTTCAAAAAGAACATAAAATTTACTAAGCACAGATACCAAAGTTGTAAAAATGGCTTGGAAGAGAATAGAAAAACGTCTCAAAAGAAAGGAAAATCAATTTTATATGTATGGACCTATATTTGACTAAGTTCATTTTGATTGGTCAATTACCTCTACCCATTTAGTACTCCTCTCCCCTTTTATTTAACCAGGAAATTATGTCAACTTCCGGGAATCTGATACCCTTTTCCCCTTAATTCGATGCATTATACTTCCACAACTACCGAGTTCATCGTACCCGACGTTAATTTATACGAAGGGAAAAAATCATAGAAATTCTTAATAAATTGAAAGACAGCTAATTTCTTCTGACGAAATAGTTTACTATAATTATTATTAATTTTTATAATGTTCTTTTTCTTTCATTTATTCTTTTTGTAAAGTACTAGATTAATTTGAACCCCCCCCCCCCCCCAAGAGAATGGGTGCAAAAACTTTTACATAATTAGTCTTGTACCTATGTTTTAAACCCAGTAAAACTAAAGATCCCTCGAGCTCCCTCAAAACTACTGACATTAATTGCCTCGCCAACATCTCTCAGTGGAGTTTCACAGATTAACGTTAATTCGGCTTTTATAGAGATCGCTCTCCGGAGAGTATGCTAAGGTTTTCTTGGTATGTGAAAACGAAAGATTATGAAAATAAAACCTAAGGATTATAGCACAGTAGATATTATCGAACTTTTATAAATTAACTCACCAGTGCAATTATAAACCAACTATTCGTAATTTAAGGATGTAATATTACTTAAGCGTTTCAAAAAAACCAAATCGACACGAATTCTGTGTACAAAGTCAGAGTCCTTTTTTAAATGATAGAACCCTAATACGGCTTACGAATATTTCTACCAATTTAGAGTTTAGATAGTTAAGGACCTAGGTAACTATTTTTAAAAAATAAAATGGCTTCACGATTCATACTGATATATTGTCTAGGAAAAAACACATCTACTTTTTGAATTCTTTTGAAAAAGTAACTAGAAACAAAACTTTTATATTTTAAAAATAACAAACACCATGTGAATTAAAAGAAAACACAAGAAACAAAATGATCGCCAACTAGTGATTTCAACAAAGTAATTCTGGGGTTTTAAGCTAATTTTTAGACAGCTCTTGTGAATAGATAATGCTTATAAAATTTCTTCGCATGTTTTTTTTAAGATCAGTTCTCCACACTGACTGATGACGAGGTGACCGTGTTATTCTGTTTTCTGTGTTCTGACTCCGGTCCTCCTGACTTCAATGACACAGAGTGGCTGGACTTGCTTAATGAGATACGACAGAGAGTGTACCGTAAATATAACCCTGTAACACGTGGGGAAGCACAGAAGACTCTGGACAGACTGAAGTCATGTGATTATCTTTGGGAAGATCGGGACAAGATAAAGAAGGAGACAAAGGATGAGACGATGTATAGGATAGCATCAATAAACAGAGATATACCATTCTGGAACAGTAGTTATGACACAGCCAGTGTGTACCTGAGATCACAGATATACAACAGAAAACCTGGAGATAAGTGTGTCAGAAGTTTTAATAGCATCCTTGATTCTTTATTGATACACCGTCTACAGATGAATATACTGACTCACGTCACCATGGAGGACATGAGTATTTATAATGAGATACACCAGATAGGTAAGTCAGTGTAAAGAATTTTAATAATTTTTCTAATTTTGAAAAATCGTCTGGAGGGTGATTTCTGGAGGTTAGTATATTTATATGAGAATTACTTTTAATTAAATTTTCGTAACATGACTCGATCATAAAAAAAATTATTTGACCAGTAAAGCTTTCATTGATGTTTAAAAGCATACATACACATGATATAATCATTTTCTATTTAGAAAATGTACGTTTTTTTATTTTATTTCATTTGTGATTAGATAGATGTATCTTTAAAATTGTTTTTCCATTTTTTAACTAAGTCTAGGTTTTACTTTTTTGTACAAATGATACAATTCAAACAATTTTTTTTTTATATATTACAGTGAATGTTTCAATAAATATCCTAAAGGACAGTGAAAATAAAAAAGCAAAATTATTAACGGATCTAAAAAGAGAAAGGGAGAAAGTATATTACAGAGGAAGATCACATAATAGTGTAGATCACGTGACGTGGCTCTGGAGATACGGGTTACTAGCGAGACCTGACATCGTGAGATCCTGTATAGGTCTACATCCACACTGGGATATTTACATCATCGACAACAAAGCTTACAGAAAACCAAGTAAGAAAATAGATATTTTAAAGTTTTATCTCGATTTATGATGTTGCATTTCTTTACCAGTAATTCAATTTACGCTGGTGTCCCTGTGCATGAATTTGACTTGACAGGCTCAATACATGTATATAACCCCCCAACCAACCCCCCCCCCCCCCCCCCCCCTTCCACCAAAATTTAGTCTAAAACACACTGACGACAGTAAATTAGTCGTACATTTTATTGTAATATAAATCGATTAACTTAAGTCAATCAATATTTATCTATTAAGTCATGAGCTACCTACTAAGATCAACATTAAAGATGCGTTTGTGAGACAAAGATCAAAGTTAAAAGTACAAAATGGTTGTTATACAAAATAAGGTCATGTCACAGGTAATACAACTGTGAAATATATATGGAAGTAATAACCTCACTCAATCAAAATTTATGGTCAAAGTTATTTATTGCGGGCAAACAGACAGACAGATAGGGGGCCATGGGAAATGTTATCATTGAAAGGCAGTCTTGAGAGGAATATCATCATGTTTTTATAGAATTTTATTTTCAATGAAACTTTTAACTAAGATAAGGATGACAATATTCTAAGAACAACTGTATCTGGTAAAGAATAGAGGGGTGCAAGGCGCGAACAATCCCCCGCTCTGAGGAAAGACATTTCTCAATTCTAAAAGTTTTTCAAAAGTATATTGTTTATATCATCTTTTACTGTATTTCATTGTTTTAATATTTTATTAATAATTTATCTTTTACTCATGTTTTTTTTATGATATGTGAAAAAATGCTTCACGTTTGATTCAAACGCTCTCCATATCGCAGGGTTTGGTCCAAGACCGACCTCTTTAACCAATGCAACATGCATTATCGACGTCTGTTAGTGTGATTTTAATGAACGAGTTTGTTGAAGCGTAAATGTTTTCAGAAATTTTTGATTTTCATATAGAATGGCTTCATATTCCATTTTTTGGATGAATGAAATAGCTTTCACGTTCTCTTCTTTTAAGTGTTAACGAAAAGTGGAGGCTTGACCCATTCATGTTCAAAATTCATTTTTTATAGCTCTAGTAAACCAATTTTCCACTACATATGCTTAAACTGTAAACTTTGTAATAAAGATTATCAAATACATGTAATAAGTCATTCAGTAAAATAAAATGTTTTGAAGATTGCATTACCGAGAACATGAATTTAGAAAAATATCATTCTTCTGTGAATTTTGAAAAATGAGAAATATTCTCTATCAAAGCAGGGGATTATCTACGCCCAATACGCCCTCTTTCTTCGAGAAAGTAGCAAAATTATTAATTATAACTGGGACTCAAGCCATAGTCGATATCAAACCTATGGTTTGGACACAAGGAAGTAGAATAATCAAACTAATTTAATAACGAGATTTCTTACACAGCTTGTAGAGGTATTATTTATACTAAAACATATAGGTATAATGAAAGAAACTGGGGATAAGCCGAACTTGATGCCTTCATAATGAGAAATAAAAAATCACGAATTTTTTGCTCAAAAATGTCCATTTTAGCTCAACTGAACAGAAGATTTAATTGAATAACTCTCAGGATCAGGTCTGGGGTCATAAAACTTCGACGGGATCACTTTTGATCTCAGTCGCACTTTTTGTTCCCCGCTTGAAAAGTGGGGGATATTGATTTGTTTCTGTCCGTCCTTTTTTCTTTTCCACACGATATCTCGAGAGCCCTTTGAGCATTCGCAATGAAATTTTGCATAGCAACTTCCTATGGACTAAAGAGGAACACTATTGATTTTGAGGTCAAAAGGTCGAAGGTCAAGATAAAAAATTCCCATATTTCGTCTGTTATAACACTCTCGTTTACGTGCGATATCTTGAGAACCCTTAGAGCTTTTGCAAAAAAATTTTAGATAGCAACTCCCTGTTGACTACGAAGGACCCTTATTGATTTTGAGGTCAAAAGGTCAAAGTTCAAGGTCTAAAATTTACATATTCTGACTGCATGTAACACTATCGTTTCCGGACGATACTTCAAGAAGATTTGAGCTTTTGCAATGTAATTTTACACCAAATCTCTTTTGGACCTCTCTCACCCCTCTCAAAGTGTCCCGCCCCGTTTGTTTTATCAGTATTTATTTATTACATGTCGCTATTTTTAGCACAGGGGCATAACGAGAATTATTACATATAAAAAGGTTCTCGATGGACTTTACATTCTTAATACAACTATTAAAACTGTTTAATAAAGGCTAAATTAGACACCATGCATTGTGTAGAATTTTGACGATATCGAACGTAAATATATACATGTATGTGACTTCATGTTTGCATATAATTTTCAATGAATGCAACCGGCTCCGTTGTCTATTGGTATGTCTCTCGCTTCACATGGGAGAGGTCCCGGATTCGAATCCCGGCTGATTCACTTTCTTTTTTTTCCAAAATACTTTTTTTAACTAAACAATAGTAATTAGCATGTGAAATGAAAAAAAAATTATGAGGTCTACTGGCTTGTACAAACTCATAAAATCACCATTACAGTGTGATAAATATTCCACATTAAAGAATCTTCTATACACATAATAAAGAATAAGCAATCAATTCTTTATTTCCCTATTAGCATATTTTATTTCCTTCAGTATACGTTTAATAATTCTACAAATTCAGTCAGGAGGATTCGACCCCCTTTCCCCCCAAACTCCGCGTTTACTTTTCCCTAAGCGGGGGACACAAATTCTCTGAATTATAGCTTGTTTGTACAGAAAAGAATAGAAAAAAATGAAATTGGAATTAAAAGTGAGCTCGTCATAGTTAAATGACCTCCGGTCCAGAACTTCTCCGCTGTATGTCATTATTGCCGTTGTCGTAAAAAAAAAATCCGATGTATCTATCTCCCCAGAACTACTGGATCAATTTTACCCACTGTATCCATGGCTAAATAGGATTCAATTTTGCTCAGACGAAGGGTCACACATTTTTCAAATAGTAGATAATTCTGAAAAAAAAATGTTATGGATTCTTTTATGACCCCCCCCCCTCACCAAAAAAAAAAGAAAAATAAAGCTTATTAGGAGGCAGTCGAAACCAAAAGTTCGTAATACATGTGATGTTTGCATATTATTAATATCTAATACTATACAAAAAGTTGTAACATTTTCAGCCCACCTGAGCCGAAGGCTCAAGTGAGCTTTTCTGATCAGTCATATTTTGTTCGGCGTCCGTCTGTCTGTCTAGCTGTCCGTCTGTCTGTCTGTAAACTTTTTTCATTTTCTACTTCTTCTCCAGAACCTCTGGGCTAATTTCAACCAAACTTGCCACTGTGACAAAGCATCCTTGGGTGAAGGGGATTCAAGTTTGTTCAAATGAAGGGCCAAGCATTCATTCAAGGGAGATAATACGGAACTTCCGAGATATGTAGTTACGGTCGTTTTTGGTTCAGCAATTAGAATCTCTGTCACGTGATAATGCACAAATTGTTAGGCAAGAAGGCGAGAAAGTGAAAGTTAGCAGACGCGCGCTATTGCGATTTGAATGGGAAAAGAACGGACGCAGACAAAGAAATCAGTGGATGAACCCAGTTCATATTGGTGCTCTGTACCTGGTTGTACTGCCGATGGTCGGAAGAAAGCCAATTTAGCTTCCTATCCATGGATGAAAGGTGTGACATTTTATGCCTACCCGGGACGGCATCACAATCCTTCGCTGCGACGCAGGTAGGTTGAATATGTACGTAATTATATATTGTTTGTTAATGTGTTATTTCTAATCAGTACACGTTTTAATTCACTGTTGAGGACCAAACAATGCCGCAGGCACCTGATTTTTTGACAGTAAATTGCAATAAAAGCTCTGTATGAACTATTAAAAAAACACTCATACACACACAAAACTTCCCTGATATTGGTTATAGTATGTACATACATATGTGTTTCTATATATTGAGGAGTAGGTTTTCATTGAGGTCATTACTTAATTTATTGTTGAAAATTCATGTGTCTGTAAACATAGAGACCCTTGAAGTTGAATATACATGCACTCTAATATTTTTTAAAGAACTTCCACATGCGGTGACATGGTACATGTACTTGTACATGTATTTACTTGGTGTATAAATCTTGTGACTTATATTAAACAGAATAAGAATCTGAATGTAGTGTTTAATAGTTGATTAGAAAAAAATTGTTTACAGTGCATGTTCAAAACAAAAGTAACATAATTAATTGAATTGGTTTTTTGATGTAGTAAATATTAAAATGAAAACATATGTAGTTTTTTTCCTTTTCGGAATGTGGCTCAATCAGATTTTTCGGGAAGAAAAATATGATCCTTGAAGGCATCACAGAGTGTGTTCCTTACATTTCGTTGTTGGCTGTCCATCTGAACAGCATCCAGTACCTACCTTGTTTCCTCGAAATAACTTTGGAGAAGGCCCACCCTTGAAGAGAAGCAGGAAATCCATTGTCAAAAGGGAGATTCTAAAGGATCTCAACAATAATACTGCAGATTGCCCACCTCAGGTTTCAACAATGGTGTGTAATAATCTACTCTATGTACATAATAAGTACTAGATTTATTTAGGAAGTACATGTACATAATTCACATTTTCAACCTACATGTAAATAGACCATGAAATTTGCAGATTAGATTTTTGTTTTATTATTATTATTAAAAATAATTTCTAATTTTTTTCAGAGTGTCACTATACTTCATGATGGAAGTGTAATCCCTTTGCCCGTACATAGCGAGTGCACAATCAGTACCACCATAGTGAACGAAGAAAATGCAGAAGTGAAGCATGGGAAAAAAGACACTAAAATCATACAACGTATGGGCATTAATTTTGATGTTCTTTATGAATTTCCAAAATTTAGCTTAATATATTATGGTAATACATGTAATGCATGCAAGTTACTCTGAGATTCTTGTTTTTATTGGATTAATGGTATTCTACATAAAAAGTTTATGTACTTTAACAAATTTTAGAACTGCACACAGATCATGAATACAGTATTGCACACAGAAAGTACCCAGAGTACAGTAATGCAGAAGTCCAAACAGATCTTT